CTTCTGTATTTTTTTTCTTCCAATTTATTTTCCAGTATACACATTTACTTTACATGTTATGTAAATTACAACATTTTAAGTTAAAGAAGAATCAAATACATGAATAATTTTTTCTCAAAGATGTATTAAACACTTCAATACGCAATACTATCTGTATCAGAATAAAATCTACATTGCAATAACCAAGAAATAAGTTCTATTTTAAGCCCATGCTATGCTATGCTGCAGGTTCATATCATAATTTAGATTTCAAAAGAACATGGATTTAAATGAAAGCTATTTTTTTCTCAAATTTGCGAAAAAAAAGTGCCTGTACAATATGCCAAGTATGAAAAAGCACAACCACATAAATGGGCTAGACTTGCAAACAAATGGGGTTTATACCACAGCTCTTTGTTCAATTGTGACATTTGGTGTTATAGCAATGATCTAAGTCCTCAAAAGGGTATCAAATACATAACAGACAATTCAAATTATTTGATTAATTAATTGGGTGAACTCATTACTCCTTTTAATTTAGTTTTGAAATCAATCTATTGATCATATCCATACAAAAAGAAAACCTGAATATTGAGCTATCAAAACAAAATACAGACTTGTATCATTGACCTATACAATTTTGAAACAAACCCCAAAACATACAGTTGATTAATATGTTAATTGCCCATTGATTGTCCACTACAGCCATCCAGGACTACCGATGCGTCCGATTGTAAGACACATGCTCTGGCTACAGTTGCTACAAAGTCAATTTATGATATAAAACAAACTTGAACTTCAATCCTGGACCCGCCATTATACCTCATTCTTACTCCAACCATAAATCTAATCTAATCTAATAAAATCGAACCACAACCAATGACAGAGCCATGTATATCTTGGATGAAACAGAGCTAGGAGAAAACGTCACTGGACTTAGCAGATGTTGGGCTACTCTGCTTGTAAGCAAGTTTTTGCACGGCGACGCAAGTGCCGACTACGGGGTATTTAAATGAGCTCGCCACCCCGTACTAGCTTGACTCCCGACAGAAATTTTCATTCTGAGTGCGACCCCCCGCTAAGATTAGCGTTGTAGAAGGCCACGTCGCCAGTTGCGAAAACTCGCTAATGTTTGTTTGGAGCCAGAGGAGTGTTAACTCAGTTCACTTTACAAAGGCTTCAATTATAACACCATTCTGCTCCAAAGAGATGATGTTCATGTTGGGTCCAACAGACAGTGCTGACGTTCATGCCCAGTATGACATGCAAAATAAATACTTTTGTCAACACTATAACTCTATCAACATGATGCTATCAATATAATCCTTTTGCTATAAAGATCACATTGAATTTCTGATATGTTACAAGGCTACCCATGTATCTCAAACAAGCTGGAAAATAACACATGATAATTTGTGTGGAGTTTAAATTATATTTCCTTCCATAATGTATCTGTACAATACATAATGTGGGATTGTCCAGTAAGCAATTGGCATATTCTTACAACATACATGAAAAGAGGGATATTCCATTATGTATTTTGGGGTGGTCCTATATGCTAAGATGGAGAGGGAACATGCAAAATATAAAACTGCATAAATACTATGCCTACATAAATTCAAGAAAACAGTAATCAAACGCAGATTAAACTAAGAATATAAATGCTTTGTATTCACATATCCTTATAATATTCAATATTCATAAATTCTCCTACTCTTTTTTTACTTCAGGTTTAGAATGTGTAGTAAATGTATCTACAAAACACACCGTATTACAAAGATAAGTTACATAATATACAAACAATCTTATAAAGAGAAGTATGATATGTAAATTTAACTCTCTTCTTTATCTATTTTCCTAAATTACGTACAAATCTGCAGACAAGAAATTTGAAAGGAAAAAATGGAAAATCATTTTAGTACAACCAGTTTTATGTAAATTTTTGTGGCAACATGACACCTTATTCAAATCGACTTCAAAATCCTTTTGATGCCTGTGCAAAGATTGTACAGAATATTGAGTAAACTTACAGGCATAATATAATGCTTTTAAACATTATTATGAAGTATTTGGTGTCATTTATGCCTGGGTGTGGAAAGCAAACTGAATCACTGCAACCATCGGGGTCTCTCCTCCCAGCATAACTGATTAGGGTGTGCAGGTAGACAACTACAATGGGGTTCCCCCCTAACTCTTCTACATATAGATTCAAGCAATATTGTCAAATTTTTCCCCACCCCCCATTTTGAGGGAGGATCAACGAAACAGTCAAGTCCAACAGCTCTACCACATTGCAATAAATGACAGAATTTCAACACATAAATCTTGATGATGTGCACTTCTGCATTGTAACTAAATTACTTGAAAACCCCTAGAATATGAGATCTCGGTCATTTCATTTACAAGTAGCAAGAAGTAATCTTAACTGATTAAATACATACCTGTAGCTTAATATGAAATCAATATCAAGTATATATACTCTACGAGATCGCATCAATTCGATCATTACTGACATAAAATACATCTGCTTCTAGAATTGCTTAACCTTAGGCAAAGTGCAAAGGCTCTATTCCTCACTGTACTGTGTACTTTGATAAGACAGAGAGAGAAAAATGAAATAAAATGAAGAAAAAATAGGAGCCAAATTACGAATATTGCAGCTGAACAAAGTAACATTTTGCTTCCAATTCTTATTTCACCTACACTGAATTGGAACTATATTGAATCTATAATTCTGACTTTTTAAATAAATATATGAATTCAAAAAGATGTAAATACTATTCCTTTATAATCATTTCCACATGTACACTAACAGAGTGAATCTCCTTATAACGAAAATTATTTTGCATCAACTTTTTAAGAATTACAATCATGGCCTTTTTTTTAGTAACATGTGTTCCCAAAAGACAAATTGCGGCTGACCATTGCAGATGACCATCGAAGATGACCATTCTGTTTTCCTTCAATTTTAGCAGGTGGAGGAGGCGCAGGAGAGTCCATACTCTAACGTGATTTCCTTTTCTCAATTTTTAGAAATGAATTTGTAAACATGTATCATCCTAGTTGTCTAATTGGAAAATTGCTTTTGATTGCTTGACCAAATAGCATATTATGGTTGCCGTGGGGCAAGTGAACAAGTTGTATTGTAGCAGTGTATAGATTAGAAGTCTTTGAGCCCTCAACTCATATCCTGCCATAAGGCCGCATGCACGCTACCGTTATAGTGCTTTATTCATGCGAGCGAGCCACAGCTTAGCTGCTTTAAGCATGCATGCTCGCATTCGTAATTAATTCGCAGTTAATGTCCTTGCTCGTTGTACTGTGCCGAGTGCTTTGCACGCGCTATTGATCGCACCATCAGATTATCTCAAAATAAACTTGGTACAGGGGGGATTTGTTGCTTGGCACAATAGGGATTAGCCCTGTGGCACTGGGCTGTATTCATTATGGCAAGATAAGAGTTAAAAAACATTATCCGGTACTTCATTCACTTAAATTTTGAACATATCAATCTTGTTTGAGTAATAGGTAATACAGTTAAGGTGCCATAGTCTTGTGGATACATCACCAGACTGTATTTCCATGGTACAGGTTTCAAATCCCAGGCCAGCACTAATGTCCTTTGGCAAGACGTAAAGCTGCATTTGCCACTCTCTACCCAGGTGAACATGGGTGCCTGGCATACCTGACCCTAGGCTATAACAGAAGTGATATATCTTGGTGCCATGAGCGCCACAGCTCGACTGATACGAGCACAATATAAGAAGCTATTTGTGGTTGAGGGAGATTAAAGACAGGCAGAAAGGCCCCTTTTTGAAAGGCACCAAAAAGAAAAGGAAAGTACAAACACATAAACAATACAGTGAATTATATAAATGAATAACTCTTGTGTGGGATATCATGGTCTGCTTCAAGCCAGAAGGGCATTAAAGATAAATTTGAGTTCTGGTTAAAAAAAAGAAAATGAATTCTCACAGAATCAAACAAAACTTCCACTGAATCTTCAAGATTTAAATGTCATATGCCAAACAATTTTGGTAGAAAATGTTTACTGGCTGAGTAATGAGCATAGAAAGATAAGGAAATCAAGGTTGGTAGCCCGACAACATTTGTGTAGTCCCATATACATCTTTCTGTGTACAGTGCTTGTAACTTTATCAATACTGGGCCAAATTTCTTATCATTTTGATAATTCCAGAACCTTGCAGTACACACCAACACTTATATGCTAGATGATCAACCTTTTCTGATCGATTCCACAACGTTTCCTTCATAATGCAATCGCATGACTAGAACTGATCTTTATCTTAAACGTCCTTCTGGCTTCAAAAAGATGAAATTTTCTTCTGGCTAGAGAGGGAGTATAATGAGTGTTGAAGATGATGAATGCACACTGATTAAATAACTTGAGATATAAGTGCTTCCTTTCGCCACAATCACTTTCCTAATATAGTTGAAAACAAAACTGTTTATAAGGGTTGCTTTTAAAAGAGAGAGTAGCGCGACTATGTAACACAAAAATATTTTGTATCAATAGGCGCGTCTTCATCATCTCGAGATAGCCAAATAGCCCGCTATTTCTGATTTGGGAAATAATCCTGAAGTTACAAATCGCGTCTTCATCAGCTCAAGATACGACTTCAAAACTTGAAACTTGACCTTGAGAAATTAGCTCGAGATATTTTGCTCAGCGTTAGCACATAGTGCGATTCTTCGGTCTGGTGAAGACGCACAGGACAAATAGCTGGATATTTTGCAAACTGATATCTTGGGATGACAATCCCGACCAAATATCCCGCTAATTGCTACTTCGGTCTGATGAAGACGCAAATCAGCTGGATAGTTTGCGATCGGGATAGTTCAAATAGCTGGATATTTGGCAATCTAGAGATAGTGAGGACAGGCCTCATGATCAATCAAAACTGAAATTGAAGGGTCATTATCAAGACCCACTTACACTATATAACCACAACATTCCATACATGTACAGCTTTAATAGTACATGTAGAGATATTGTTTGATTTTTCTCCCTTAAGAATAGAGCATTCATCGAACAATCTGCATAAATATTATGCTACCAAATACTTCCAGCAAATGTACTCAGATTTCCACAGAATGTACAGATTTTCCAAAAAATTTGGTGTCTTATCTCCACGTGGCTTTGTTCAGACACACATGTACGCTTTAAAATGTGCAAACTGTATCATATGATGTATCAGAGCTTAGAGGCCGTCATTGCTCATAATTTCCTTTTCCCTCTTAATTGCAATTCCCTATCAAACATGTACAACAGTTTGTATTTTGCCATGGAATTTGTTTTATATTTGTTACTTTTTTCTTTTTTTTAAAGACAGATTTAATAACGCATTGAGTCTGAACAAAGCTCAAGAGCCCATCAAGGCGACTGATCTTTCAACCCTCTGCGGCACATGAACACCAAAAGAAGAAAACCTCGTGTCATGCCATCTCCAAAGTACACTTCACAAACATGAATTGCTCCCTCTACTGTTGTCTCCACCCCAGGCTACGTGTATTAGCAGCACCCTCCGCTCTTGGGCTCCTCTGCATCTTCTACTATCGTCACACTTTTGTGTTTGGACGCTCGGCTACTGCTCGCCCCGTCGTCAAGGAACGTTGATTCTAACATTCCTAGGAAGAAAACACATACATGTACAAAGATGGTCAAAATCGATTCTCAGAATACACAGCCCAAGGAAAATTAATAGATCAAACTCCTATAAGGGTACTAATATCCTTTGGCAAAATATTAACCTGCACTTGCTACTCTCCACCCAGGTGTTAAATGGGTACCCAGTAGGATGAGACGGTCATTGTTGGTCAAACAGTTTTGAGCGTCAAGTAACGCCTGGCAGGAATACTCCCCAAGGAGTGGAGATTGTGCACACATTGTGTGCTGCAAGCATTGAAGTCAATGACCGGGTTAATAGTATATATGTAAGGCGTTTAGAGACATCGTAGATGTATTAGGCAGAATATTATTATTCTTAGTATTATTATTAGGCCTATGGTGGGTTACTAGGGAGTGAGTAAGCACCTAGTCTGACACTTTTATTCATATCACAAGTCAGTAAAGGTGTATTATATCTTCACAATAGAGACTGATAGCATATAAAGAAACTATATAGATGACTTACGTTTGCTAAGATCCAGGAACATTTCTTCTATCCCTTTGTTGAGTTTTGCTGATGTGTGAAAGTGTTTAGCTCCCACTGATGCAGCATATCTACAGGGAGAGATGAATAGAGATGAATAGTTCACAAGATCTCAATTTGTTTTGGTTGTCCCTAAGGATATGTTAACTTTATATATTATTATGTCAACATGTTCTATTGCATTGTACATTTACTATTTTTATATTGTTGAATAAATGAATGAATGAATGAATGAATAAATGAATGAATGAATGACTTATAAAGTCTGGATCTCTCCATATTGGATGATCTGGACAGGGACGAAAAGCAGTCTAGAGCAAGATCTCAACAATACAAACAAAAGATAAAAATAAAATGCCACATATACAAGTATAAAGCTCCCTAAAATACTGAACTATGAATTCCATGGCAAAGTACAAACTGTTGTACGTGTTTGCAGAGGTGTCGTGGTCGAGTGGATACGTCACTGGACTGTTGAACATAAGGTCAGCGGTTCGAGTCCCACCACAGCACTAATATGTCCTTTGGCAAGATATTGATCTACATTTTCCACACTCAACCCAGGTGATGTAAATGGGTAACTGGCAGGAATTTAATTCCTTGTAATGCTTTAGCGCCTTATCATGGCAGCTCAGCCACAGCTGGGGTAATAATATAATACCTTGTGTTAAGCGCAGTAGAGTACATGTAGTAGCTGCGCTATACAAATTGACCTATTATTGATTAAAATATGGAAAGGTAGAAAGAAACTTACGCTTCTGCATCCGCTACTGATACATTCCTCTGCTTTTCCAGATCAATTTTGTTTCCTGAAAAAAGAAAGAAAAAAGAAACAGGTAAAATTTGGAAGACATGTTATATCAGTGCCATGAACAGAATTGTAGTCCTTATTTCATAAGACCAATGTACGAAGCTTATTACATGTACAAGTTCCCATTGTCTAATTAACATCTGTACTTCGGTTTTCAAACATCATGATAACTTCTGAAAATGTTGACTTGTAGAATAAAACCTTTGTGTATTGAGGGCAGTGATTGTATTTACCTGCTATACATAATGAGATGTCGTTCCCCAGCATCTTCTTCAACTCCTTCACCCAGCTCTTCACCTGGCAGGAGAAAATAAATAAGAAAAAAGTGTGATTACAACACTACTAAGACATGAAACTGAAACTGATTTGTACCGAAATACTTTAAGCTTTTTAAGGGGTTAGGCTTGACTAGCACATGTGCTATTATCTGGCCCCTTTTACCAACCAATAGTTTCTCTTCTTGTATACGTAAACACATTGTATGAAATGTATTACTGTATTGCTGTTGGTATTAAATGGTAAATAGATCAAATAAAATCAAATCAGATTGTAAGCTGCTTAAACCATAGCACAAAATAAAATGAATTACCCTGGTACCAGTAAGCATAGTGTCCATCACAGTTCTTTGTCTTTTATCACACAGAAGATTTTATAGGGACCGTTTTGGCATTGATTTTTACTTTTTTAAATAAATTCCCTACACCATTATATGTGTCAATCAATTTAAACATTAAAATGCCAGTGGTTCATTCATATAGGTCATTTCCTAAGCCTTGACTGAAGAAGTTGATAATTTGACATCAGCTGGTTCAAAATAAACCCAATTGAACCAAGGTCCTGATGTCCAATAGTAATGCAAGTCAAACTATAAAGAAAACTATATGAACTGTGAACATAAGTCATTAAAAATATTGACGAATACATAGGATAGATCTAGATGTATGTCGGCTGTAAATAGAAGAATCCATCCAACTTCTCAAGTACAGCATTTAACTTATGTAATAAGAATGTGAAACGAAAATGATATTTGAGCAAATGAAATATCAATTATGTTGAATGGCATTTCTTTCGCAGCTCACTATGAGGTGTAATCAACTAGAATTACGACCAAACAGAAGTCTTCATGTGATGAAATTTGATGTATAGGGAATATAATCTTCAGGAAATTACTGATTAGACCCGATTATCAATGCTGATGGTACATGTACATGCATGTCGAGGGGTCAGTGACACAAAGACGTAACTCAATTTTGTACATTTTGAGAAAAAGTGGTTAAGGTGTCACAGAGCACTCGGGCCTTTAGGAGTTAAGTCCACGTTTCACTAGCCATTGACTTCAATAGGGTGTTGGGTGGAGTTAAGTCTTTGTGTTTCCTGGAAAGCCCACATTTTTCTGAACATTTTGATATCAAATACTCATTTTGGCAAAATATGGAGTTACTTTGTTGTGTCACTGAACCCTCGAAATACATGTTCATGGCATAAAAGGTACAGTGCTGAGGAAGAGGAAATCTAATAGTCTTTTCACACTGGTTTTGCTTAAAGATAAACTCCAGTACTGGTAAAAAAAAAAAAAAATAATTCTCACAGAATCAAACGAAACTTACACTGAATGTTCAAGATTACAAATAAATGACATGTGCCAAACAATTTTGGAAGAAAATGTATACTGGCTGAGTAATGAGCATAGAAAGAAAGACAAGGAAATCAAGGTAGTACTAGCCCCGACACCATGTGTGTTGTCCCATATATAGCTTTCAATGTGAGTGCTTGTTACTTTACCAAGACTCGGTCAAATTTATTATGATTTTGATGACTCCAGAACCTTGCAGTGCACACCAATACTTACATGCTACATGATCAACTGTTTCTGATCCTTTCACACGTTTTCTTTCACAATGCAATCGCATTACCAGTACTAAAGTTTATCTTTAACCCAGTACTTTGCTTAGCCCCGTACTATCCTTAACCCCGGACTAACTATTTTGGCTTTTCTCATACTCTGTTTTTAGTCCCGTACTAGCGCCTATTCCGGTGTTCACTGTAATTCGTTAGCCCCGGACTTGCTCTATATCGTGAATATTATGATTTGACAGTGGGCTCCTTACTTCGCATCTGGCCAGCTGCGATACGCTCCATTGCGTAGTACCGGACTATTTTTCATTTCTGTTCTCATTCATTTGCTTGGCATCGCAATTGCGGTGTTAGCAGGAGTTAGCACCACAATTGCGGGGTTAGCCCTGCTATTTTGCAGGGCTAGCTAACCCCGTACTATAGGTGGGGCTAGCCCACTTTGGTAAATACGGTTTTAGAATAGAAAGTGGAATAAGCTTAACCCCGGACTATAGGTGGGACTAAGCCCCCCCCCCCCTTAAACCTTAACCCCACCTATAGTACGGGGTTAAGCAAAATTTTGCCAGTGTGAAAACAGTATATAGGTAATTCATTCTTAGAAATTTAACATGTTCATGTCACATTCATTAGAACTGCTCCTACACTGTACTTTGTACTTGCCCTTTTCTTTCTAACTATTTTTTAAAAAATCAGCAGGAAAAAAATGTGTAAGGAGCTGGCTACTTGCTGTTTAAACATCTGTATGCAGTGCTGGTCCTTTGCAAAGTCATATAACAGGCAAAGAAATAAAATGAGTCTCATATTGTTGGCAGCACAACCCACAAGAGCAACACTAAGTGGAATGTTTCTTACACTTACGCAAATTAATTTTGGAAATAATAATAGGGAGGGGGGGGGGGGGGGGAGATGGGGTGGGGGAGAAACAGAACTGACAGGGGTTAAACTACAAAGGTTCAGAACCACTTTTTAACCCTTTATGTGCAACACAAGTAATGTCCCCGTGCCACGTTGTATTGATATTGGTACCAAAGGCTTCAAGATTAAAAGGGTGGCAATGGAGCTAATCAAGGCCTGGGCCCCGTCTTTAATACAAAGAGTTGATATCAATCATAACTTATTTGAGATTGATATCAATCGCAACTATGTACATGTACATAAGAGATAAGGGGATTGATTGGAGGACTAACTTTTTGTGAGACGGGGCCCAGAAAAGAATAATTTTGCAAAGCTTTTGTGCTGCACAAAGTAAACCTTCCCTCAATGGTGCCTATTGTTTTGACAAACAAGCGAACATGAAGAGAGGCAAAGAAAGTGACCAAATACAAAAACAAAAAGAGATTTTGAATGTTTGATTTACCTTCGTGAAGGAATCCTCATCTGTAATGTCATAGACTAGTATTGCCCCGTTGCTGTCTCTGTAGTAGATAGGTCCTAATGCATGAAACCTCTCTTGACCTGCCGTGTCCTGTACATAAGTAAATGAATAAATCAGTAAGTCAAGCTTCAAATTGGCAACAATAACAGAGACTAGTATTGCAGTCGATCTGTACATGCAGGTCCTAATGCATGATCTCTCTTTTGACCTGCCGTGTTGTGTAAGCAAGAAGGAACACACCACTAGTACATGTAGGCCAGGTTTCAAATAGGCAACAACTAGTGACCATAAAGTGTGACCATAAAGTGTGACCATACAGTAAGTTCAGTTCATGATGTCCATACGGTATGTGACTAAACTGTTAAAAATGAAACAGATTGTCATATAATGCATGATGTACAGCTGGGTAGGCTTTAACAATACAAACTACAGTACAATACATGCATTTGATTTTATAAAGAAATACTCAAATCGATAAAGGCAAATTTAGGATTAAAATACTGAATCAACTGCTATTACTTGTGTTACATTGCATCGCGATATTTAGAAGCTCAATCATGACTTCAACAACAGGGGTGTTGTTTTTTTTGTAAAACATTAAAGAGTAAAGAATATACATGTAGATATCAATCTTATCTGAATACCATTTTATCAACAACTTCATTATGACATTTATGACTTAATCCATTCATTGAGAGATTCATAACTAACGACTTACATTGTACTGTACGTGTAGGTTTGTTATTTAACAAACTGTAGGAATCCTATCTGGATATCAATAATAATATCATTCCTAAGCACTTTTTAAATTGTGGAAGTAAGGAGGTCATACAAAAGTTCACAAGGACAAAGTGGGTGTATTATGACAAAATTTAACAAATTATATGCACCATGTATATGACTTAGACCTATTGCCCTTTAAATAAATGGGAAAATAATACTACAGGTAATTGAAAGAAAAGAGGGAAGAGGAGAAGAAGAAAAAAGAAAAAGAAGAAGAAGAAAAAGAAGAAGAAGAAAAAGAAAAAGAAGAAGAAGAAAAAGAAGAAGAAGAAAAAGAAGAAGAAGAAAAAAAAAAGAAGAAGAAGAAGAAGAAGAAGAAGAAGAAGAAGAAGAAGAAGAAGAAGAAGAAGAAGAAGAAGAAGAAGAAGAAGAAGAAGAAGAAGAAGAAGAAGAAGAAGAAGAAGAAGAAGAAGAAGAAGAAGAAGAAGAAGAAAAAGAAGAAGAAAAAGAAGAAGAAGAAGAAGAAGAGAAAGAAGAAGAGAAAAAAGAAGAAGGATTTAAATACTAATTATAGAGCTTACCCATATATCAAGGTTGACTCGTTTTCCTCCTATATTCAGCTTTTTGTTGAGAAATGATGCCTGGAAATTAGAAAAGAAAATACTTCTTTTTTATAGCTAAATGTATTCAGTTCAATCAACGTCAGACTTAAGCCAAACCAGAATTTTGGTAAAATTATCAGGCAGACTGGCAGACACAATATTTGTTGCTTTTTTTTGTTGTTGCTTCCTGGTGACTGAGATGACCTCACACTTTTGGGTTCCATATCAACTTGCTGGTCCGATCACTGAGCTTGTAAAGATCTTGTAGTTGCTCAGCATCAGCATCTGACTGCATGTATGGTGAGGTAGATAGCGTTAATATTCAGCAAACAGTCAAACTCTTGACGTGAGTTGGACGAGCAAGTCATTTCGTAAAAAACACTATACCTTCAATACGTGTGTTATACCCTCGCCCTCGCGCTGCGTGCCAAGTCATGAAAATGTCACGCATTGCTGATCTTTGAACTTGGCGTCTCTGCTAGTACTATTAGGTCATTCCTTCCTGACTAGTGCATTTTCTCTGAATTTTTCATTTTAGCCAGAATTTAGCATAGTTTTCAAAAAAATTTGATCCTCTTTGACTTTATTTTCTTCTTGCCTTGGAATTTTGATCTAGAATCTAGACTAGATCTAGATAGATGTAATCATATTCAATTCCTCCTCCTCAATCCAAAGTCAAAGAAGAGTTTGAACTGGAAACCAACGAATAAAAAGAGTAGTAAATCAGGACCCTAATTTAAGTAAGGAGAGTGGGAGGAACTAACAACAGTCTACACTAGTTGAATTCCTAAAGCGTGGGGTACCGGGTGGGAATTCCCATTTTTGCCTACAATTCAGCCAGTCATACACGCAACACAGCTCAGTGCATCCACACTCACAGTCGTACTCACTTGCAATGTTGTAATGTGTTTATCATTGAATTTGTTTTCTACGTATCGCAACACCAGCGACGTTTTTCCGACACAGCCTTCTCCAAGCAAAACCACCTTGAAATTTTTTCCTCCGGCGCTACTAGCTGCCATTTTAACTATCTCTAAAGAGAGTCTTTACAATGACAAGATTGACAAAAGTGAGGTCTTGCTATTCCTTGCTCAGTTTCAGCTAAGTCCAGTGTTTACACGTTGAGAAACTCGATCCTTCCTTTCTCTTCTTCTCTCACACAGTCACAGTCATGTTACCTTTACGCCTCCATTTATCAAGTGGATGACGTCACTATCTAGTTTTGATGATGGTCGTGAGACATTAGTATTGGATGGAATTAATTCATTGATTTCATTCTGTCAATTTATTGTAGTAGTATGTTTTATTTGTGCGGTTAAATGATATTGATATAAATATCAATACTAGCATAATTTGTCATGTAGATCTAGACCCGACATCATTGTCAAGACCCTAAAAAACAATGACATCATGATTGGTATATTACCAGAAACAGCGGATCACTTTTGTTCACTCTGGTTTGTCAATTTGATAAATGGTAAAACAGTAAGAATCAATATGCATAATTCGAAATGTTTTGATTTTCATTTATTTATTAAGCGGCACGCGCATAAAAGAGAGACCAGAGTGAAAATAACTGGAATTGAATATTTATTTATTTAGATAATTTTATTTATTATTTATTCATTATTTGTCTATTTTGTTATTTATTCATTCTTTGATATATTATTTTATTCATTTATATATTATATTTTTATTCATTTATTCATTTTTCAATTAGCAGCGTAGCTATAAGTCATCGAACCGAATCAGGGTAGCTAGATCTTTGAGAAGGCATATCAGGGGCACGAGATGAAACATTGTAGAGCTACGCTCGGTTGCTATATGCAGGCTGGCGTACGCAGGATTTATTTGAGGGGGGGGGGTTAAAAATTTGAAAATCACGCCAAAAATTTCGCAACGACTCAGCCAGCCGCTGAATAAACAGGGGGGGGGGGGGTATGGGGTATGAGGATCACTTTTTTTTTGGGGGGGGGGGGTCTCAAATATTTCGCAACGTCTCAGCCAGCCATTTAATAAGCAGGGGGGGGGGGGGGGGGGGGGGGGGGGGGGGGTCTCAAAAAATTCGCAACGTCTCAGCCAGCTGTTGAATAAGCAGGGGGGGGGGGGTTAAGAGCACATTTTTTGTGTGTGTGTGTCCCAAAATTTGGAAATTAATTGGACCCACTTCTATTTTTACAGATGGGGTCCAGAGCCCAATGAGGGCCCCTACCCGGAGTTCAATTGAATCCAATATGATGGCGATCCGTGATATTTTTTTTCTCCATCCCTCCCCCTACCCTACCTTCTTTTTTTTTACTTTGTTTTTTCCTTCCTTCGCTCTCCCTTTCACCGACTTCTTATCATATTTAGCGCTTTTTGCATGCGAAAATCACTAACATTCACTTAGATCGGCCACGTACATGCACACATTGTCTGTTGAGCTATCTACAATTTCAGTATACATCTTCTGCTACTGACTGTTGACATGGTTGAGTTCCGCAATCTCTATTCTAGAGTCTAGTTTCGTTATAAAAAGTGAGTATTATTTTTCTAAGAGTTTTAAACATTTTATGAGTAAAGGTGAATGATGAGTTTGATCTTGTACTTTTCAATGGGTTAGTATTTTGGTGCAGAAAAAGACAGGAAGCATGAATGCTGAAGAAGTTGTGTGACTGTTTTGTCAATAATGTTAACTTTGAGTCTGTGTTGAGTGATCGGTGCAGTGCATGAATTGAAGGTGCACTCCGTGCAGTGGCCGGTGATACTACACTGTACAGTACAGGTACCTTCAATCTGAATGAAACACGAAAATTAAAGGGAGTGTAGCGGCTGTAACCTGATGAGACTATGTGTCTTTCCGTGCCGTGACTCGAGCCAATGGGGTTTAATCCGACTACGGACGACGCAAGGGTTAAACGCGTAACCGAAGCCTGCTAGGAGAACTTCGGTCTGTTTTCGCGAACGCTAGCCGCACTGACCATGACATGTAGAGATTAAGTCAATGACTACCGTTAATCAAGTCCAATTGTGCAGTTGTCCAAAAGAAGACATAGGTCTAGATGGCATTCTATTTGCCAAGCTACACTCCCTTTAAACTTAAAGATACTGTCCCTTTTGCAATTGCAGTCAACATCAAATGCAGCATGGCACACTCATTCACAGCAATACAACAGTACGAAAATACTCTACCCAGAGGACTGTACTTGCACTAGAAGAAGAAGGAGAAGAAATTCTTTAGAACTTTGAATGAATGTAATTAAATTTAATTTAATTTAGGAACTTTACATTAGTCTTGATCTAAGAAGACACAAACGAACGAACTATATGAAAGTCATCTAAATCTTTCACAATTGTTCTATTAATGGTCATAATATAAAAGTTGTTATCTTTCTTACCTGTTTTGTGTTTGAACAACAGCAACAAGGCATTTTTTTCCCTGCCATATTTTTGTTGAGGGGGGGGGGGGGGGGGTCTAAAATTGCCATTGGTTTAGTGTGTGGATCATAACAAAAGATGTTTTTCAAACAAAAGTAAGCAGTGAATTAAAGTAGACAGTTGAAAGGGGTAAGTTCTCATGAGGAATCTGCTGATCATAATTCTTTTAGCAGAGGTAATCCATTTTCAGCAAATGTAAATATAGGAAATTGATATTCCAAATTGGAGACTGTCTCCCAAATACGCTACCAAAAATCTTCATAAAATTCTCTGACATTAGAGACAGTCTCCCAAATTTGATGTGGAGAGTCTTGCATGCTCGGGAGGGAAGGGGAGGCACATACAGACACATTTCCCTTTTCCTTTTTTTAATACTTTTTTCCCTAATGTATTTGAAAACAAAAATACAGAGAGAAAAAAAATGTGTCTGAGTATGTCCCCTCCCCACCACAGCATGTTTAGAGCACCCTACGGATCTGACACTACGTTTGAAAAAAAGGTATATAAAAAAAGGGTTTACGGTATGCGGATGAAATCCTCATCTTGAAGATTCTGACGTAAATTAGAGAGCTTGCCTTGGCACGTCATCAATGCCCTCGACTAAGATTTGTTAGCCCTCTGAGTCTTAGAGCGCTCTATATCTTTATGGGGGAATAAAGATGCAAGATGACTGAAGAAAAAATTGAAGAAGACTGATAGAAAGGCTGGTGACTTTGCATACACCAACATGTACATACCCGTATCTCAACAGATTATGTAAACAGGTGAAAAATATGTATTTCTTTATAGTTTCAGGCAGCACACTTTTCCTTCCCCCTTCTCTCTAGGGTTCAACCCTTTGTAAATAATTTAATCTTTTTCTCTAGACACATACTTTGTGGAGAATTGAACCAATAGAACCAGGAGCACAGGCTTCTCCTACTCACCATGGCGTCCAGTGGGCAGTTCGATGCTGTTATCCAACAAAATATTGGAAAGGTATGTGGACATAGGTGTTATAGGTTTTTATCATTTTTTTTCTTGTATTTATTTGTTTTCCTGTTAATGTTGTTTTTGTAAATTTTTCTAATTTCTCGATATATACAGGTATGTCATGGTTGGTTCCCCAACCACAAGCTTGTATTCAAACTTCTTTAGGGGCTCCTAACCCCGTACATGTATATATTTTTATGGTTGAAATAAATTGAATTGAATTGAATTTACACGGGTCTCCCCAGTTAACAGGGACAAAATTATTTTAAAAATTTCAGGGGCTACTTTTTAACCTTGCTTGCATGAAAATAACACTCTTTAATTTGTTTTGCATTGAACTCTAGGCAAATTTTGTTGGGCTCTTTTATGACTTACTGGGGCTCTTTTGGGCATTTCGGGGGCTAATTTCCCCCGGGCCCCCGTGTATTTTTTTTCACTGCCCCAGTATATTACATCCTTAGTGCTATAACCAAGCGTGGGGACATTTAAAAAGAAATGCTGAGGTTCACGTCTCCCCGACAAGCATCACCAACTAGGGTTTGGATTAGGGTACCGGTAGTTACATGTACATGTAGTTTTCAATGCATGCTTTCATTGAGGGGGATCCATAACATTCAAAGACAACATGAATATGAAACAAATAGAAAAGTTCTAATGTAGCAAAACATGGAGCATAAAACACAATGTACATGTATATGTAGCATTTAAATAGACAAATAATAACTGACAAGAAATTGCTTTTTTCTTGACAAACCATCTGGGGGCCCTTGGTATGCAAATTCATGCTGAAGTTCAACATAAAGCAAATTTGAGTCATAAATGTGGGTGAGAAAGTGTATCCCTTTTGGAGCTAACATCAAATTCTTTAGAACTTTGCAGAAATTATGAATATGTCATGACATGTACAAGGGTCTTAAAATCGGACTATTTAATTAAACGAGCACGCTCGCTAAATTCATTTTGATTCCATTTAACAACTAAATGTCGTTTTTTCCACAAAAAGATATTTTCAAGCCCCTTTGTTTTGAGGGAAGTTCTAAATTAGTATTATCTTTCAAATGCCCTTGGAAATTAACCTTTTCATTTTGTTGGCAAATGGGGCGTACATGTAGTACCTTTAAGATAATCTTGAGTTTGGTAACTAGTGAGGTACAATGAACACAAACTTCCATTAATCCTTGATAATGTTTCGTATTTGCTCATAAAGATCATGAGAAGGTCCAGGATAGAGTGTTTGATTTCTGTTTTGTTGTCCAATATATCCTGAATGTAATATCCATGGCAATGCACAATTGCACATAATTTACAATTAACATCTATTTTTCTTGATATTTGATCTTATAAGTAGGGATATCATGTTCAATCATACATTCATGAGATATGCTGCAATGGTAGCAATGTGTCGGACAAATTACTTGGGATAAGCCCATTATGCCATCTGAAATTTAAAGATAAAGACCAGTTTTGGAAACGCCTCCCTCTCAAAAAATGAAATGGAAGCTCTTTATTGTAAACCAATCATGTGAAAGAATATGTTTTGACTAATACATGTACGTGATCATACAAATTTTGCTGAGAAACCGCCTACTAATTGATATATTTGGACCTGATAGATATAACGCATGTGTCGCGCACGTGTGGGGGTAGTTCCATATACATCTTTCTGTGTACAGTGCTTGTAACCTTATCAAGACTGGGCCAAATTTCTTATCATTTTGATGATTCCAGAACCTTGCAGTACACACCAATATTTATGCTAGATGATCGACCTTTTCTGATCGATTCCACAATGTTTCTTTCACAATGCAATCGCATGACAATAACTGGTTTTTATCTTTAAATTAAATGTGAAGTATACCAATCAACACTTTTTTTGTTGCTTTGTATGTTAGGGGTTACATGGCACTATTGTAAATTCAAAATATGAGCTTCAAATATAACATCTCAAGTTGAAATGAGGTTAGCATAAAAGCCACTCATGAGCAAAAAAAAACGTCCTCATGGAAACCAAGCCTGAAATAGGTTCTGTACGCACAGTTTTATGTTATTCTTATTTTCTTCATACTCATTAGCTGTTGGCCCATAGGATGCCAGATAAAAAAAAATTGAGGTTGATTGTATACATTCTTGCTGTGTACATACACACTATAAATGATTAATATAATTTAGTATACTTTTTTCAGAAGATTATCAATATCAATTAAAAAAAAGAAAGAAAAAGTACCTACGGTAATAAAAGTTTCTTGTACCCCAATTTGTAAGTACTGGTTTGTAATACAGTCAAACCTGCTTCAGTGACCACCTGTATAGAAAGAAGGAGACCACCTGTCTCCAAGGACCAAATTTTTTGTTTCCCTTGAAAATGGTTTCTCATTGACACATGTACTATTAAAAGGAACCTTCAGTTCATCGTGACTGTGCCATGGACCAGTGATGGTCTGGTGGTAGAGTCGCTGCCCGGCAAGCAGTAGATGCAGGTTCAAGTCCCGCTGGTTCCAAGATTTTTTCTGACTTGTTTTTCAATACAGATAGATCAATCGATCTTATTTACTGGGTGTAAGCCACAAATATGTTTAAATCATCATTAAAAGGAACCTGTACATAAAGAACACCTGCCTATAAAGACCACTTTTCTTGTCTCCCTTGGGCGGTCATTAAAGACAGGTTTCACTGTATTATGAAAGTTTCTTGCACCCCAATTTTTATGTACTGGTTGTAATATATACCATGTATACAGTCACACCTGCTTTAGTGACCACCAGTATCGAAAGACAACCTGTCTCCAAGGACCAAATTTTTTGTTTCCCTTGAAAATGGTTTCTCATTAAAACATGTACTAAAGGAACCTGTACTTAAAGAACACCTGACTATAAAGACCACTTTTCTTGTCTCCCTTGGGTGGTCATTGTAGTGTCTAGACACTTGACCAACTCTAAAGTTTACTGGCTGACAGCTTGGCAGTAGGTCCATGCTAGCTGGTGGCGACCCTAATCCGTTAATAGTCATAATGGGCAATAAATGTCATAATACCCTGTAGTCTTGGACAGTGTTTACATGTGTTTACACCTGTCATGTATTTATCACTCTCAATATAGGCACGTTGTCATCATCTTGAGATTGCCAAATAGCCCGCTATTTCTGATTTGGGAAATAATCCCGAAGTTACAAATCGCGTCTTCATTAGCTCGAGATTCGACCTCGAAACTTGAAACTCGACCTTGAGAAATTAGCTCAAGATATTTTGCTCAGTGTTAGCGCAAAATGCGAGTCTTTGGTCTAGTGAAGATGCACAGGACAAATAGCTGGATATTTTGCCAAATTGAGGGATATTTTGCAAACTATCCCAAAATACCTTGGGATGACAATCCCGACCAAATATCCTTCTACTTGCTAATTCGGTCTGATGAAGACGCAAATTAGCTGGACAGTTTGCGATCGGGATAGTTCAAAAAGCTGGATATTTGGCAATCTCGAGGTAGTGAAGACAGGCCTAATGTTATATGTAGAGAGCAGCGTGTTTGTAAGGCAGTCTGGGTTGAACCTTTAGACATACATTTCACATCTCTCTCTAAACTAGCATTACTTTGTGTGACTTGAATGCGTGAATGCTACAAGTGGCGACGAGGAATAAGTTCAACTGAAAGAAAAATTATGGCAAGGAAATCATATCATACCTTGGATAAATCATACCTTGGAAGTAGGCATAAAGTTATACAAAACTTATTTGCCCCTCGGTGTCCGCTAGTGGGTTACTCTTGAATTTGGCGTTGTGCAGTTACCGATGAACATGGACAGTTGAATAGTTCATCAGGATTGAACTTGTCCTTCTTCAGTGACCTGTACTTGTCAAGACTTGTAAAGGAATAGCGTGCAACAATGTCAGCTTTCAAAGAGGTTGAGGTACGAGGAGTGGGTCAGTTCCACCCATATGGAGATCTGGCTCAGATTTCCCAGTCATGGACTCGATGGCTTAGGTCTTTCGAACTTCATGTAATAGGCAAAGGGGTTTCGAACCCGGAACAAAAGAAAGCACTCTTGCTACATTGCACTGGACCTGAGGTGCAAAGTGAAGACATACCTTCCACATCTCTCTCTAAACTACCGGTAGCATTACTTTGTGTGACTTGAATGCATGAATGCTACAGTCATTAAAGACAGGTTTCACTGTATTACAGTATGTATGTTCATAATGTATTTATTTATTTTTTCTTCTACAGTATACTAATAGAGATCAGACACAAAGGGATATGCAAAGTGTTTTTGCTGCATTCAAAGACCTACGACCTAAACTAGATTCCCATGGTAGGTATATCGCCCCCCCCCCTTTTTTGTTTGATATTATCATTTTGTATGTGTGCGTGTGTGTGTGTGTGTCTGCCTAGCCAAACGGAGTCAGCCTAGGAAATTTTATGAAATAACCCTTTCCTTGCAGTGGGCAACAGATCCAGTCATATATAACACAATTTTGTTTCATTTATTTATTCTGAATGTAAACATAATGACAATTACGTTTAAACATTTGAAAATATAAACTTATTTTAAACAGAACTGACTAGGGCTCCAAGATAAGCAAAACTTGATGCCTTGTCAGTTGTGAGCTCTGACAATGAAATGAAAATATAATTGGCGAGACTAATACTCTTTTCACACTGGTTTTGCTTAACCCCGTACTTTGCTTAGCCCCGTACTATCCTTAACCCCGGACTATTTTTTTGGCTTTTCACACCTGCTGTATTTAGTCCCGTACTAGCGCCTATTCCGGAATAAGAAAATTCCCGCTGTTCTCACTGCATTTCGTTAACCCCGGATATCGTGTATGTAATGTTTGGACATACTTCGCATCTGGCCAGCTGCGATACGCTCCATTGCGTAGTACCGGACTATTTTTCGTTTCTGTTCTCATTCATTTGCTTAGCACCGCAATTGCGGGGTTAGCAGGAGTTAGCACCACAATTGCGGAGTTAGCCCTGCTATTTTGCAGGGTTAGTTAACCCCGTACTATAGGTGGGGTTAGCCAACTTTAGCCCACTTTGGTAAAAACCAGTCTGAACAGAAAGTGGAATAGGCTTAACCCCGTACTATAGGTGGGGCTAAGACCCCCCCTTAACCCCACCTATAGTACGGGGTTAAGCAAAATATTGCCAGTGTGAAAACGGTATAAAGGGTGGAGAGAGAGAGAGACAGAGAGAGATGGGTGGGGGGGGGGGGGGGGGGGGTAAGGTGAGAACAAAGTTACACATGATATATTAAAAAGAGAAGAAGTAGAAAACTCATGACTCTTGCAGTTGATTATAGAAGTTCTTGTTTCAGTAGGTTTCATGCATCTGGGCATTAATTGTAAATATAAATATTAAAGCTTCCAGTATGTTACGGCCATTATATTATGCTACTTCTTTGCTTGCCATTTTATATGGTGTAGCTGAGAAAAGCCCTCTTTAAAAATCCATCTCAAAATCATCAATAAGTCACCATCATTTATTTATTTATATTAAAGGAAAATTGTAAAAGCTGTTTATAATTTATGTTAATAATTAAATTTCCTTGAAAACTTGTGTGTAGATGCAGATTTTGTTGTTGTTCTACATTTATTTATTATTGGCCAGTGGGTTTAAAATATATTACAAGCAAGGAATAACAATACAGACATCATGTTTACAATACAATGTAATCATTGATAAGTATTCCCAGAATCAACCCTTTGAGTGTATCTTACACCCATTTCACTGGCATATTAGTTGTTTTCCTGCCTGGTATTCCCTTCTAAAGCAAAGGGAGGAAGTTCTTATCACATCTATATTTAGTATTAATTTCTTTCAATACATTCATGTAATGCAAGATGACAAATGTTCTACATAAGTTATTTCCTTGTTGAGATAATTCATGTTATCTATTTTAGTGATAGACACAACTTTGTGTTTGCTCTGATTCTCTGTATCACAAGCATGCCTTTTCTCATTTCCAGTCTACATGTAATGAGATTCTTGAAGATATATTTCCGGTAACAAGTTTTACCACTTACGCACTTGTATATTGTACATGATGTACATGTATAGGAGTAATTCAATTGACATCATGTACGTGTACGTGGATACTTGTGTGGAGCTTTTATATTAATATCGGATTGTGAAATGTACCTTCTTTTTCAACTTTGATTTGTGGCAAAGAGTTTGAATTCTTGTAAACAATAAAAGGATAAATTCATTTTGACAAGAAATGTTTATTTGTGTCCGGTACACATTCAACTCTGTAGCCTTTTATTTAAGTGTAATACGCTTGTGAAATTGGGACATCCGGAAAGCAACACATAATGATGAGTAGAGGAGGTAAGATTGCGTTATTTTTGACAAAGAGTTTTGTCAACCTAGTTGTTATTTTGCCAATTTAAGTGCTACAGAATACAGATACTTTTATAAATGTAATGCTTCCTGGGAGAAATTTCAATAGTTCAAACATATTTGTGGCTTACACCCAGTAAATAAGATCGATTGATCGATCTGTAATTGAAAAACAAGTCAGAAAAAATCTTGGAACCAGCGGGATTTGAACCTGCCACCTACTGCTTGCCGGGCAGCGACTCTACCAATTTACTGGGTGTAAGCCACAAATATGTTTAAACTATAGAATACAGATACTTGTACATTGTGTTTTATCGTCCATGTTTTGCTAGTTGCTACATTATAACTTTCTATTTGTTTCATATTCATGTTGATGAATGTTATGGATTACCTTCAAGTCACAGGCATTTCAGAATCTTCACATTTCTATTTACTGGTAGTCATTTACCTGTATTTTTACTACTGTGATCTTTATGAAAGGAAGAAATGGAAAATTGAATTAAACTTTATTTAAAATTGAAATGAAATGTAAATTTCTGTTCCAGATTGTGCAAGAAAGAATTGATTTTGAGATTGAGCTATGTTCATAGGGAAATATATGTTTTTGAATAAACATTTTCAATATGGTGAAATACTCTAGTCCTACTTGTAGTGGTTTGAAATTTCATTCTAATGAGGAATTTTATCCTTCTTTAAATTCCATAAATATACTTACACGTATCATCATTGGTTAATTGGAACACCTGTATACATGTGTAGGTGCACAAACATGTACGGTATTCATTTGATTTGAATCAGTCACTAAAACTATCCCTTTTCTGTCTTTTTCATTCCAGTTTTTAATGATGGAAAAAGAAAGGAGCTCATCTGCATTGATGGAACAATCCCTGTACTCTACAAAGGTTTGTATGAGGTTCTTCCTGATATATCATCAAATATGTTGGACCTGAAATCTGCATTAGATATACTAGTGGAATCTCATCAGGCAAATTTTCGATTATATTTCAAATATATCAAATTAAATTAATTCGGCAAATAATGAATAACTGGTATAATTTTTTTTCAATTCATTGAAAGTAAAATGCTCTAAATTTGACAGTTCTGACAGAAATTAAATAAAGCGACTATGAGTACCGACCGTGTCTTGAGCCAGCCATCCTAGGTGCGTGTGTTACTCCACTCATACGTCACACGCCCATGGTCAGCGGCAGCACTTTCAAAACAATGGCTACATACACATACGCCGATTCAGCTACTCAAGGCCCTTAAATTTTATGATTTTTCTCTCTTTTGATGAATCTTTCATATGTGGCTCCTAGGAGTATATAGGAAGTTATTAATGCCCATTTAGACCAATCAATGTAGTTTGGGTTGAGTTTTCCTTTAACAGTCAGCAATGTGCATGTGGCAAAGGGATGAGGTCTTGATGCCTAGTTGTCTGGCATAGTGCTAAGATAATCTCTTCATGGACTTATAAACAACATCCACCATCTCTCCAACTGCAAACACCCTGTGCAGCACAAACACTTAGTCTTCCTCGCATACAGAAGCATTTTGAAATCTGCCCAGGAAGCCGATAAAGTTCACAAGCAGCGCTGAAAGAGGATCAACTTCACAATTTGCACTAAAAGATGATCAATTTCACAACCTGTCATTTTGCAGTGACCATCTCGGAAGTGCTTTATAATAAGAGATAGATTTTCTTTGTATTTTAATATTTTCAAGCTGCATTATTGCACTTAATTCTCTTCTCTTCCTGACTCATCACATCTCATAATATCTTTGTATTTCAGCCAACACATACAACATCCCGATCTGTGTGTGGATCCTTGAGACGCACCCACACAACCCCCCTCTATGCTTTGTGCGTCCCACCAGTACCATGCTTATCAAGCCCTCTAAGCATGTAGATGCCAACGGAAGGGTCTACCTGCCCTATCTACATGATTGGAAACCAGTAAGTAGAACATTTAAGTGAGAGAAACATGGTTAACCTTGAACCTGCTAACAAAGGTGAAAACTATCTTTAAACCCATTCTCTAATGCTTCATCTGTTACAAACTCAAGCACGGAGCAAATGTCTCTGGAGTAAGTATTGGATTACCTTTGCATCTCTATGATAATGCATCTCTTTCTGTCTTTGTTTCTTCACCAGAACAACTCCGATCTCGTTGGCCTGATCCAGGTCATGACGGTCGTCTTCGGAGAGAGCTCTCCCGTCTATGCCAAATCAGCAGGGCAGCCGCCGCCCCGCCCCTCCTACACCCCGCAAGGATGTGGGATGCCCCAGCACCCCAGTTACCCCCAACCACAGCAATGTAAGTTGAGACCAGAACAATATTTATGCATGTAACTATTATCTTGATTGGCCATTGTCAATTCGCAATCTTGGGTTTCACAATCCTTGCGCCCTCATTCGGTTCAGTTGCAACAGTCAGTAACAAATCAGCTTGCTAGTTATGTATCTCACTCTGATGAGACATCACCGGAAGCCCGCCTCGCTAGCTGCCGCTCGGTCCCCGCACATCATCATTTCGTTTTTCGATCGGGATTAGATCGAGTTGACATTGTCATCATGGTCTTCTATTGTGAAGCTGCAGAATGCTATTCTCTTAAATGGATCATCATTCTTTGGTATATTTTTGTTGACCCGCTGGGGGCTCTCATGGTACGAACGTTGCTACCTCTGCTTTCTGTAACAGGGGCCAGGAGAATAGAGGGAATACTTTTGGGGTTTACGGGGTGTAAAATGTGCATGTACTGGTGTTATATGGACAATTTAAAGTGATACTGCCATTTGTTTTCTCTTTTAGTGTATAAACAAGTTAAATAGTTCTGCACAAAATTTACACTCATCACTGGTTTGAAGTTTGGTCTGAAGTCAAAATTTAACAAAGGAAGTGAAAACAAGTTTCTTTTGTTACAGATGACTTATACCTGGCTTCAGGTGTTAACTAAATGAATAGTATTCAACTATTCATGCCCATGAATGTAGGATCATATGTTGGTGAAACAATAAAAAGAAAGGGCAAAAATATGACAGGTTTAGTGATCGATACAACTTGGTTTAACTCTGGGACTTTATGTAAATTGGCAGGCTGAAAAAATATACAAATCCATAAATTCATTGATGTAATAGTGTTCAAGTCTTTCTTTCTCATACTCAAAAACCTTACCGATTTTCTGTGACATGACTGAAAAGCTATATATTTCCTTTCCAGCCTAACCGCTCACGATGGCGGTCTCCTGCGTTCTGAAATTTATCTCTTTAGAAAAATGAAAAAATATACATATATTTGTTATACTTGTTCGTATGCTTTTTATTATGGTTATTGTATAATATTATTAGACATGATTTGCCATGTATGTAATACTTATGTAAAAATCTATAACCTTGTATTTGTTATTTGAATGCAGAAATAAAATCACTCAAACAAACAAACAAACAAACTTAGCCTAAAGAATAAGCCCCCATCTACTTCTACCCACTTTATCTGCAGCCTCCTTTATGCCGATGCCGATGCCAGCCCCAGCCAATGCTTCCAGCGGCTACTCCCAGCCCCAGTACCCCCCTTCCACCAACTACCAGCCCCCTGCTGTAGGTGGTAGTGGGTACACCCCTGGCTACCAGGGCTCGTCAGGTTACCCCTACCCATACCAGCCAGGCCAGTCTACTCCAAGCCAGCAGACGCAAAGCCAGCCGTCTTACAGCCCTGCCGCTATGGCTACAGCTAGCACTGCAGGTTAGTTAAAGTTCTATCTATCTAAGTATCTTCTCCCGGTTCGGAGGTTCAGAGATTGCAACATCTCTCCATTTCACTCTATCTTCTGCCATTCTGGTGCACTCTTGCAGTTTTAGTCCACTCCAGCTCTTGACATTCTCTTCCCAGTTGATTCTAGGTCTCCCTCTCGGTCTAGTAATTCCTTCCACTCTTCCCTCCAATACATCCTTAAAGCTAAACTTTAGTACTGGTAATGCGATTGCATTGTGAAAGAAAAGGTGTGGAAAGGATCAGAAAAAGTTGATCATGTAGAATGTAAGTATTGGTGTGCACTGCAAGGTTCTAGAGTCATCAAAATCATAATAAATTTGACCGAGTCTTGGTAAAGTAACACGCACCGTACACAGAAAGCTATATATGGGACAACACGCATGTTGTCGGGGCTGGTACTACCTTGATTTCCTTGTCTTTCTATGCTCATTACTCAGCCAGTATACATTTTCTTCCAAAATTGTTTGGCACATGACATTTATTTGTAATCTTGAACATTCGGTGTAAGTTTCGTTTGATTCTGTGAGAATTCATTTTCTTTTTTTACCAGTACTGGAGTTTATCTTTAAGGGGTTTTGGTGCCTTTTAACATGACCAAAGTCCAATTTCAAGCTAACTTCATTCCATTCCAGTATTAAAGTCAATTTCTGTACAATCTGATGTAAACACAGAAATGAATGAGGCAGATGCAGATTTATGATTATAAGGCAATGACCATTATGATAATTCCATTCCTAGGCATATAAATGCTCTTCTATGTTTGGACTATGAATAGTTATTTCATTGTGCCTGAAACAAAAATAAGGTACATGATTTCTGAGGTTTACAGAAAAGATATACATATATAACCAGAGCCGAATTCGTATAAACAAGATGTTGTAAAGATTAGACCCCAGAAGTTCACTTAGAAAGAGGAGACCTACTGCAAACCTACAGAATAATGACACAAATCAGTTTTCAGTTTGCTAACTATGATAGAACAAGAGGCCATTCCATGAAGTTAGCCAAAACAAGATGCCGCCTTGACATCAGGAATAATTTCTATAGCCAGAGAGTTGTAAATAAGGGAAACAAGCTGCCACAAACTTCCATTGATGCTCCCACACTCCTAAGCTTCAAACAACAACTATCCAACCTAGGTTTTTAAATGGGTCCTATGGGACCCCCTTAACCCTGCCACACCACACTATCTACGGGATCTTCATCACCACGATGGCGAGGTGTGGCCTTCAAGGCATATTCAAGCTATATATTATAATTCCCTGCAAAGATAGTATTATAGAAACGGTTAACTTACACAGTTTAATAGTAGTCAAACAATAAACATTGTATTTTCTTATGCAGGTTCACATCCACCAGTTAGTAGTCAAAGTAGTTTATCAGACGATGCTATCAAGGCCTCACTCCAGTCAGCTGTAGAGGACAAACTCAAGAGAAAACTCAAGGAGAACTCAGAAAAATTCCAGGTAATTCAATTAAAAGAAGCATTTTGCTATGTTTGATTTTCAACAAGATGGAGTTAATTTTATTTGTTTTTGATGATTCAAAACCTCACAATTATTGTATTTATAACCTTAATTATTAATTAACATATCCAGATATCATTAAAATGACTCAGTAACATTGCCTCAGATTCTGAAACAAAATCCTTGATTTAGCTCATGCTGCAATCATAATTATAAACCTTAAGGTCATACTTGAATCCCATGACTTTTACAAGCCAATCGCTTGTCTGATTATCAAGATATTTATGATTGGAAATCAAAATTTCATTTTTCGTTTTCCTAATGGTTTTTATAATACTACAGTCTATTGGGAAAAATGAGTATGGTAAAACCGGTCACCAAGATTTTTACTATTTTGAGGCATTTCTTGATCATTTTGAAGCGCAATTTGTCTAGGGCTTCAATATTACACCATATCACAGACATTGATAACATGTAGGGCCGCGCATCTCAGATTTAACATTGTTAAACGATGCCTTTAATTAGAAAGATTTAACCTGATGTTTTTATGTATGATGTCTTTCAGGCTGAGATGGATTCACTGACGGCTACCAAGGAGAAGCTGAAGAATGGTCAGAGGAAACTAGAAGAAATCATCAACCAGCTGGAGTCAGAAACGGTTTGTAATGCTCTCAGAAGTATTTCACCTCCTGTTTACCACGTTTATAGATTGATGTAAAAGGGCTATAATGCAAATGCTTTTAGATTATCATGACTTTCAATATTAATGCTACAACAAACGGACCAAATGATACTTCTAAAGGGCAAGTCGGGCCCATGAGCAAGTTGAAATGAATAAAGAAAGAAAAATCAAACATACAAAACAGTGATAGTTTCATCAAAATCGGATGTAAAATATGAAAGTTTGGCATAATTTCATGAGACAGTGATATGTATCACATCTAGGCGGTATGCAAATTAGCAACTTTTCTGCTCTTGGAATCTAAATCATGGCTTGAATTCTCATGGAATATGTGCAGAACACCCATCACTGTAACTCATTATAGGACATTTTCATACAGTCTGATTTTCAAAACAAAAACAAAATTGACATTTTATAAACAACATAATTATGGGGAAAGTGAGGGGATGACATCATCAACTCGCCATTTGCATACAGCCTATTTGATATATATCACCGTTTCATGAAATAATGTGAAACTTTAAAATTCCACATCCTCTTACTGTTTGTCCGATTTGGATAAACTTTCATTGTTTTTGTTTGTTCAATTTTTCTCTATTTCTTCAATTGAACTTGCAAATGGGTCTGACTTGCTGTTTTGTAATTGGCTTATATCTGCTAGAGAGCTGTCTTAAGCTTAAGTTAAAATACTTAGCCAAAAGATTCTACTTGAATACCAAAGTTGGATAAGTATTTTATCTGAGCTGAAAATGAGTAAAATACTCCTATTTCTGACATACATGTACATGTAAGTGTTAAACTGAATACAGACCAAGAGCAGTTGTCATCTGATCAAATGTTGGAGCACCATTAAATCGAATCGTTTCTTGATTTGCTAACTTTTGATTCATACTGATCCACAGGCTGAAGTGCGTCAGAACACACAGTTACTGAAACAGAAGGATGAGGAGATAAAGGCAGCGCTTTCTAAGATGGAGGGTCGTGATGAGTTAGATCTGGATGACTCTGTAGTACCGACAGCACCACTATACAAACAGTAAGTATTCCACCATCTTGTGTGTTTTACTTAGATGTTTGTAAGGGCTAGAGAAGCCTTTCTTTTTGCTTGAAATTAAAAATGAGTATGAAGTTTAAAGTTTGATACCATTGCACAACTATTCCCCCCCCCCCCCCTGGAGCATGAATTTATAGAATTGGAATTTCATGACTGTGAAATATTTAGATGCTTCATGAAAATCTAAGCTGCAAATGTGCAGTATATTTGCATGACTGTGTAATGATTTTTCAAATGCTATTCTGATACGAGTTTCATAAGTCCATTTGAAATGTTGATCTTTTTATTTGTGATCTCTTCCAGATTGCTGAACTTGTTTGCAGAAGAGATGACGATTGAAGACACCTACTATTACTTAATGGAAGGACTCAAGAAGGATGTCATTAGCATAGATGAATTCACAAAGGTGCATACTGGAGATGATGTTTGGATATGAAAGTTGTGTTGGAGGATGAATTGATTGACAGTGATTTGCTTGGTAATGTGGATGACAAAAACTGATAAAGATGATGATGATGATGAATCATGTTTTGATAACATGCTTTTTAGCTATATGAATTCTAGTGCTATTTTATGAAGGTGGTGATGGTGGTGATGTTGGATATGTTGATAATTTTTATAATGACGTTGATGATGATGATAACAAATATGTTTATGATGTTGACATTGTTTGACAGCGCTGTGGCTGTGATATTTGATGATGGTATTGATGTATCAGAATAATCTTGCTGCTGCCGGTGGTGATGATGACCAACAATAGATGTTTTTAATGATCACACAGTATTTGCACTTCAGTGATATGATGTTAGTTGATGTTGATGATGGTGGTGGTGGGGATGTCGGTGGTGGTGGTGGGGGTGGTGGTGGTGGTGGTGGTGGTGGTGGTGGTGGTGGTGGTGGTGGTGGTGGTGGGGGGGGGGGGGGGGGTGGTGGTGGTGGTGGTGGTGGTGGTGGTGGTGGGGTGGTGATGATGATGATGATGATGATGATGATGATGGTGGTGGTGTTGGTGTTGATGGTGGTGGTGGGGGTGGTGGTGGTGGTGGGGGTGGTGGTGGGGTGGTGGTGGTGGTGATGATGATGATGATGATGATGATGATGATGATGAGGTTGGTGATGGTGGTGGTGGTGGTGGCGGCGGAGGCGGATGCAATGATGATGAAGATGAGTAATAAATATAAGGTAAATATTGGTAACATGATGGCAGCGATATGAGTTTAGTAGTATTAATGATATCACTTATCCAAACAAATCACCTAACCTAAGCTCATTCCTTTACTTTTCTGCAGAATGTAAGAGAACTGTCGAGAAAGCAGTTCTTACTACGAGCTCACATACAGAAAGTCAGACAAACAGCAGGATTGCGAGAGATCACGCCGTTATGAGACCACTGTTCAATCACTTTTAGGAAAAATATGTAAATTTTATGATATAAACATGTGTAATATATTGAACGGTTTTAGCTTGAATAATCTTGGGGTAATTAGACACACTAGCTTGAAATAGCATTGATGATTATCAAGCATTTGGCATACTTGCCTAAGAGTTCGCATATTCTGATATTTTTTATATTCTTATAAATGCAGCTGTAAGTGACTTTACTCTACTCCTTAACAATAATCAGCATTTGTTGCAACTTTGCTCTATTAAGTTTTATTGCAGTTCCCAGTTGAAAAAAAGTTTCAACTGAAAGAAACCTTTTCTGTTGTGAACAGATAGTCAATTCTTCACTCTACATAAATTGTTGCTGGGTAGGACAAACATGGTGGCTAGTCTATATAACCTAACAACACGTAAAGTATGCAATTGACATTGTGATTATTGAAAGACAATTATTTGTAACAGGTGAATGAAATAATTTGTAATTGGCACTTAACAGAGATATGTGCATTAAATTTCATTACATCTTACTCCATCAGGAAGGTATTATCTAGATTGAAAGATCATGAGACACACTACATTTGATACTATTTGATAACTGTTGATAATAGACCTGTTAACTAATGTATTTTAATTCATGCATGTTTCTCTCCCTATTGACTTGTTCCCAACCATTTTAATCACAATCACAATTTGCATACCTAATTGTTGCAATCCATGAAAGCTTCTTTCTGTTAAAAAGCCTGTTCATAAAGATTTGCAAAAATATAACGTCATGAAAGTTTTTGGTTTTACGTTTATTCTTTAGTAATTCTTAAATATGCATCTAATTCAATTACATGACCTAAATGGTCTATTTAGATTTTTAGTAGCATTTCAAAAGGCAGTCATGTTATTTCCTAGACTTTCTTTGAAATACATATAAATATAGAATGTTTTCTATATTGCACACTTTTCAAGCTAATTTTTAATTATAACATTTTACAAGCACATCTGTGACAGATTTTTCATATCTTCACAATATTAAATTGCCTTTCAATCCGTAGTCCTATGTGAACATCATATTTTGGTTTTTATTGAAATAATTCAAGCAATATACTGCTATTTTGTTGTAAATTTAATTAAAGAAAATTCCTATGACTAAGTGATAATTAGTTCAAAGTATTCTTTTGACAATATATCTCTAATCATATGCATTTTTGCTGCCATTGGTTTACTTTATAATTTAGATGGTGTATATATTTCATTCAACTTAGTGATAAATCTGTACATGACAAATAAAAAAGAGGAACAAATAATACCCCCACACATACCCCTTTATTCTCAATGACGGGTGTCGAGACAATTTTTGTTTCCACTTTTGGGATTTGCTGAAGTGTAGATGAAATATTCTAGGGTAATTTAAAAAAAAAAAAAATCTTACTATTCTGAAATTTCAATTACGATTTATTTATTTCACTCATTTGTAAGATTTATTGTTTGCTTGTAGTTGTCATGATAAAGAATTTTACCATTAATACGCATCTCATCCATTAAATGAGCATTGAGGATAACTCTACCTATCACTGGTTAAGGGATAAATGTAGTTTTATATCATGAAATAGTGAAATATTTCTTTCTGCTTGTAAATTGTGTATACATGTATCCTTTGATTAAATAAAAACTGATGTAAATTCCACGTAATTGTTTTCAAATTATTTTGTGATAGGCTTAGCTAAGTAAAATGTTGCTGTTTATGATTATGGTTTTATTTGTTGTGCATATCGGAGAGGACCTAAAGCCATCGGCCGTCTGGTTGCAATAATTACAAGCATTTATGCTTTCTTAGCAGTCAGGTCAAATAACCACCACCATTCATTCATTCATTCATTCATATATTGATATTTGAACAAGAAAGGCTCTTCCGTTGCCAACTGTTATCTTGGGCTACTTTTTAGAAAGCACTACGCTTTTTACAATTTAACCAATCTTTGAAAATAAACTGCACCTCAAGAAAAATCATAATACTCAAGATTGCACTATAGAAGTAAATTTTCACTTTTGAATTAAGCCATGCCCATGGTCACAACCGGCCGTGTACCCCTCTGTGTGCTTTACAAAGGATTTCGTCCTTGCGTCGGACACACGGGTCTTCATGTTTTGTGAAGGCACGCAGAACACGCAAAGCGCACGCAGGAGGTTTTTTTTCCTTCGACATGTCCAATAATTTCTGCTTGTCAAGTTTTTAATTTGTTTATGAAGAGATGCAACACTTTCAGACGTTGTACTATTTTGCAAACCCTGCAAGGGCTTTTTGCGAGCATTTCCCGGACTTTCCATGTTTCAAAAATAAGAAAAGTGCTCCAGGCTAAAACATTTTTATTTCATTTCCACATGCCTTTATGTTTGGTTAAAAAATACTGTAGATCATCTCACTCTGTATCTCTTCTCTTCGTAGCAAACGTCTTAAGCTTAGGTGCATTTGATATAGGGCCTACCGATATATCAATATTATAATCATATGTACAATTCAATTTATGTGTGCTGTACAGATTTTTATTTAACCATTATTCAGATTCAAATTCTGATTCACTTAAAAAAAAAAAAAAAATTCAACTAATCATACAATTGGTGCATAACAACGATAACATTAATTACTTCGGATTAAAATAATGTGTTTCATAAATCTGAGTAAATAGTAAATAAACTTAAATAATTTCACAATGTACACAGGATATATGATACAAAAGCTATGAGGAAACATGATTCTTTGAAAACAGTAGGACAAGCTAAAAAGCTAACCTCGTATATATAGACATTGACTTCGCCACAGAGACAAATTAGGTGATCTGCTGCTTTGATCGAGACATAATACATGTAGAAACTCAATGGCCCGAATTCTCAAAGGAGGTTTGTCTACAAAAACCTCCTTTTGTTTCGCCAAACCTCCTTTTGTTCTTTTGTTCTTTACAAACCCGGTTGGTATAAAACGCGTAAAAACGCGTCATATGACGTACGAAAACCAAGGTTTGTCGACAAACCTCCTTTGTGAATTCGGGCCAATTAATGGGTGTGACCAAACGTTAACCCATGACATCAAGGTTATAAATATCGTTCAGAAATGACAATGTATGACGGAAATAATTATGGTAAATAATAGAAATTAACAAAATGGCGCTTGGATGACGTCACGCATCACAAATCTCTACGATATGATCAATAATCATGCATATGGCACATGTCATGAAAATGTCATTGTATTGTCAATAATCATGACATTCATGGGATATGAAGCGAACAAAATCCATACAGAAAGAAAAGGGGACAAAAAGAAGGGCAAATCAATAGGCGCCCTGCCACGCTACGCGACTCTCTCTCCCTCTCTCTCTCTCTCTCTCTCTCTCTCTCTAAGTGCCATATCGTTTGACTTTGGCAATCATGCTGTCCACAACCCTCGGCTCCTAGCCTTCTGTATTAGTACCACTTCCAGTTCTTTCACTCCTCTCTCTCTTCCAACAATTTCTGCAGACTGTCCATCCAAAGTATCCTCCTTCTTACCCTACTCCTTCCTACAATTTTCCCTGTCAAAGCAAGATTCTCTAGGCCTTCTTTACGTGTAATGTGACCCATGAACTTCAACTGCCTAATCAACATTCCACGTATCATTTTCCTTTGCACTCCAGCTCGTGTAAGAACTTTCTCATTATAGCTACGCGACAGATGACCTAATTATAGTAGTTTATGCTTTGTTCATTTGAAATTATATACAATGATAATACATAATTAAAATTAAAAGAATGGTTGAAACAAATTGTGAAGAGCAGGTGGGCAATTTTCACCACCCTCCAAAGAAGAAAAAAAAATATGGAGGAACTGCTTGTGTTTTGGGGGAAAAAAAACATGGAATTGAATTCAATAATTACAAAAAAATGTCACGAAAATGCAGTTCTCCTTCTCATCAGCCAAGGAAGTATGAATAGTTACCAGACGAAAAAAGGGGGAAAATATCACAAGAACATGGAAGTTTAGAATTTCATTTTAGGACTCAACCAAGGGCAATTTCAATTACCCTTACTATCAAATTTTGAATAAATATGCAAACATTACATTTAAAATTTTCCGACTTCTATAGGCAAAGACATTGGGTATTGATTTTGTCCTTTGGTTGGTTCGTAGACAGTCTTTGCCAATCGTGCTCATGGATAACTTCGAGAAATTAATTCAAGTTACATGGTGTCTTTGTCCTTTCTACATCCGGGGTTATAACATGTTATAACATCATCGCAGGGCTCCTGGGGAGAACACTATCAATTAAGGTTGAGGCTAACCTTGGTGAAAATGATGATGATATGGATGATTATTGTTATCATGATTATTGCCATTACCATTTTCCAATTGCGATCTTTTTTTGGGGGAGACACACTGTATATATAGTGGTGGTTATTTTACCTGACAGCTAAGAAAGCATAAATGCTTGTTGGTAAGCAACCATACTGCAGACGGTTTTAGGTCCTCTCCGAGGGACCTAATGAGGATTAATGCCTTACCAAAGGGCACTGGCGCATCGACTAATTGGTTTCGTACCCGGGTCACCGGATTACGAGACTTCTGCTCTACCGACTGAGCTATCGCGCCTCCCTAGTAGGGAACTAGTTGAGGTGGTAAACGTAAAGGTCCTCAACAAGGTTCAGGTCTAGACCCTGTCTATTGCTCTAACAGTCTCAGCCACTCTGATCGATGATGGCGTTGGGTTAGATAAAGGGACCTCCACAAATTCTCTTCCTTTTGTAACAAAACTGAGGGTTCCATTATGGGCCTCGATCAATCTCACTTCGCTGCTGTTCCACCAAAAAACATCGTGAAGATCAGTCCCGTCTGATCGTACTGACCGGACCACTCTCCTGTCAACATCTGCAAAAAGCACACGTGTTTCTGTGCCAGAGGGGGCGGAGGTATGGGATATGAAAAAAGGTGAGAAAAAAAGTGATAACGAATAAAGAAGAAACGTCACTTATTCACGCATATCATCATTGTTACTCAAACATACAGAGCAAAAGTGAGTTATTATTATCTTGCCAGGTGGCGTCTTGAAAGGAAATATTTCATCACTTGTCTCAGAATTGCCATTGCCACATCTGCCCTTGCAAGTCTGAAACCAATATGGAATGTCAACACAATGACATTTAGATTGAATTTGTTGAGAACTGTGAAACATTGACACTGAATGCAATTATAAGGGAGTTTACAGATACAATCTGCGCATGGGCAGATAAAGGTCATTTGTACCAACATGGTAAAACCCACAGAGATGAATACTGGATATGCGCTCATGAAAGTTATGTAACATTATTCATTTATGCACCAACGGTACATTCTATGATACGCAGGTGGAAGTATTCTTTTCAAGAGGTCAAACAAAAGGTATTCATAAAGCACATCTAGGACTTTGGCAGTTATTATTCTAAGATGCTCAAAGTGGTACTTCTCCATGTGTAAAAGATCTGTGGATATTTGGGGTCATTTTGTACCATGTGCTATCTGTAAACTCCCTTATTCAAATCAATGATATCCACTACGCTTTGCGTACGTCCAATGAGAACGTGAGGGATGTAAGGCCTAACAAAAACAAAGATGTTGTATTGCCCTTTAGGTGCCAAAACATGGGTCGGTCGGTCGAAAATCCTCTTTTTTTGGGGGGGGGGGGCTGATATTTCTCAGTTTTTAATGCTTTAATACAATCTTTTTCTAAAAAAAACGGTTAAAAAAGGAAAAACAAATTAAAGCCGACCGTAGAATTCAAGATTTTTGGGTCGGTCGCAAAGGGCAATACAAATAGGCCAAATAGAGAGTTATATAGGGGAACATGATCCCCTACAGTTGCTGGGCATGTTACTAGATGAGAGATTAGCTTGGAAAACAACACCTTGCAATGATGAGTTAATGGGAGAAGAAAGAGGGGCAGACCAACTACGACACGGACTAAAACCATCAAGCAGTGGACGGAAATGTCATTTGAGCAGATAACTAGAACAGCTGAAGACAGTAAGTAATAGATAACCTGTGTCTCAAGGTCAATTTTATCGTCGCCCCAACGGCTCAGAAGCTTTGAGCAATAGATAGATAGAACATTCGACGTACATTGCGTTATTGACAAGTGATTAAAACAATAATTAGCTTGGTCCGAACATTTTTGCATATTCCCATATACTCCTTTCTGTGTGCAAGATTTTGAATAATATTCATTTGTAATTTTGAGCATTACAGAACTCCACAGAATAAACTATGAACTACATACACAGTTTCTTTCACATTGTAATTCCATGACCTGGGCCCCGTCTTATAATGAGTTGCGATTGATCCAAATCAATCGCAAGTTTGCAGTCTCCCTCTCCTATGTACATAGTTGCGATTGATGTCAATCGCAAATAAGAATCAACTGTTTATAACACGGGGCCCAGAAAAAAACAATAATAATAACGTTTATTTACCCAGGGTATACACTTCAGTTATGAAACTGCTCTTCCAGCGGGCCCTCCATAACATAATGTTATTATTACCCCAATTCTCCAATCTAATTATGCTGAGCGCCTAGCTAGAAGGCAGAAGGTCCCATTGTTATAAGTCTTTGGTATGACTCGGCCGGGGATCGAACCCACGACCTCCCGTTCATGAGGCGGGTGCTCTAACCACTGAGCCACC